AGAAAGCCTCCTGTGGATCCTGAGTCTACCAACTCTACTACAGAGTAAAGCTCTAAAGCCACGGCAGATCGGTACGGAGCTAAAAATCACAGCTCTGTTGCAATGTGGGAACAAGGAAAAACCAGGACCTATTTACCAGAAAGAGCAACCTCTAGCCAAAGCAGGCAGGGTGGGCATTTGGCACCCTCACTTAAGCAGGGCCCTCCCAGCACAGAAGTAGCAGCTAGCAAGCAGTTGGAAAAGCAGACAGAATAGGAGCATGGACATTTGTTTAGAGAGAAGTAAGGATTAAGTTAAGTGTCACAGATTTCTAGACACTTTTTGGGAAAGAAAAAAAGAAGAATGTTTACTAAACCTCCCAGGATTTAGCTATTTCATTTCTAAATCTTTTTATTTATTGGAACTGTTGAACTTCATGGAACATCTTTAAATTAATTTCACCCATGATTACAAACTTGGATGAGACCAAAGCTGTACATGCTCACCTCTTCAGTACTGCACACTCATGTCACAAATCAATGTATGACAATGTGAAACCTTGGAATTCTCTCATTCCATCACTCACCTTCCAGATGCCCACTCTGCCTTTCCTTTTAATAGGCATTAGGCCTCTCTCCTGAAAACATAAGCTTGCCTTCCTTTTCATTAGATTGAGTTGCTATGAAACTCCTCATTATCAGCCAGGATCAAGGTTTTATGCACTTACCAATCGAAAGTACTAACCAGATGTTTGCCTTAACAGAAACTTAAACCATCTGTGCAACATCAGTAGTAGTTTTGGCATTTAATTGGGTATTTCTTCAATATTCCAGTTTATATTTGTGAATACTGTTTGTTAACACGATAGGTTCTTGAAAGGAAAGAGAGAAAGGGTCGTGGCTTTGAGGAGCTTGATTATGTTTTGTTATTAGTTGTCAGAAGAATACCCGTAGGCAAAAAGCCTACCAGTAGATATGGAAGAGGTCAGCAAGTTAGTACCACCATATTCATCGGAAGGTTTTAGAGATGAAAGGATAAATGTGATTTTCCATGGAGGTAAGATAGTTACAGAGCCACAAAAAAGTTCTTTTAAATGTCAATAACTCAGCCTATGTTGACTAGGAACTTTACTCAGTGTTATGCGACCAACTGGAACGTCTAACTCTTATCCTTTCAGATCTAATGTCTTCAGACTGCTTAGTCACAAAGATATCTTCATAAATACTGACTGAATTACTGTAAACCTTTTGGCAAAAATATATAGATAAAATTAAGTTTCCAATGAAAAAACTAAAAGTTATTAACAAGATTTTGATTATTACATTTTAGTTAAAATGAAAATTCACAAAAGGAAAACTACATTTGTACCAGTTCTTAAATTTAGAATTATTTTTAGTGCTCCTCTTTATTTGACTTTAATAAACTAGATTTTTTAATTTTAAAAGTTAAACTGGAATATAAGATAATATAAGCATAAACATAAGAATAAAAAAGTTTAAAGTTCATTTATTTTCTTACTAAAAACAAAATTCATAGTATATATTTCTTTCATGAGGAGGACAAGGAAAATTAATTTCTAGCAATATTATAATGTAATTTCATTTTTTTCAACAATTTATTATCATAATAAATGCCAGAGATTCCTTCAAACTGAAAATCCTTCATTTCATTTAGCTCTAATAGATATTCTATTATCTAAGGACACCTCAGTGTCCAACATAGCTTCTCTTGAAGGGAATTTCTCCATTTAACTGAAAACTTGCTTTTTTTTTTTTTTTTTATCATCTTGAACCTAACCACAAAGGATTCAATTGCACTTTTCTTATAGAAAGGGGAACAATTTCAAAGGGTACATGTTCAGTATATCAGAAATGCACCATGTAATGTCATATAACCATGTAGTCAAGACCAACAATACTTCATGCATATTCTTTGCACTTGATGTAAATGATCATTATTTGAGATCTGACCCATAGCAGCTGCTAGGCCATGGACAGAATTAAATTAACACAGTGAATTTCTTGTGGTCCACATTGTCTACCAAGGTTTGATATGACTGCTTATTCTTAAGGTACAACATAAGTAGACATAGGCCAAAAATATGTCTAATTCCCTTTAAAGCTAATCACATCTCTGTTTGGCATCGTCAGGCTGCCTCTGCTGCTGCAGTCCTATTACTGCCTCTTCTGGGAATCCGATGTTGACAGGTGGAGACTCCAAATACGGGTATGTGTGACATGTTGACAGGGGGAGAACTGAAAGGATGATCAAAGATACTGCTTTACTGAAATGGGAGTGGAAACACTATCTCTCAAGTCAGAATTAGGCTCCCATATGTCAAGTGATGAAAGACCATTGAAATGGAATCAGATTTAATGAAAATTATGGCCAATTAAAATTAGTGATTTTTATTTTTTTTCTCCAGTCCCAGTCCTGCCTCACCAGAAATGTTTTCCTTTCTGCTAATTTTTGCCTTCTGACTCTTGTCAGACAGAACTTACTATTTTGGGGGGTTTGACAAAGTTTAACCAGCAGACAAAAGTTAAACATGATAAAGAACTTCAGACGGGCAACATCTGAAATCCCTTCAGGGGGTTTCTGAATTGTCTTCTGGCGTAAACAACAACAACAAATTAATTAAATGGTCCTCCAACTGTTTCCTGGAAACTGAATTGCCACCTTCAGATACTAGAAACGTCTTCCAGAGTGTTAGTCCAGCGTACTATCGCAGTAAGAGCACACCAGCGGGATTAGCACTGACATACAAAGGGGCCATATATCATCACTGATGCCATTTTCACTCCAAAAGAAAACTTCAGGAGGGCCGAAGGGGCAAGGAAATAAGAAAATAGAAGTCCTATGTCTAAGAAAAATCTTACGTTAGGAGAGCCCATGGAAGTGGGGCAGTAGACAATTTAATATTTCTCAGGTGATTTTCTTTTGCCTGACCTTCCATTCCTACAGGTGTCTCGCTGGCCTGAGCACTCATTCTGTCATACACAGCAACATCAGCCTGCTCCACACACCATGCCAGATGTTCAAACAATAGATGTTATAGATATCTAATTTTCTGGCAGCCTACTCAGGTTTTTGTCATTATAAACATTAAATATATAGTGAAAGCCTCTCAGAGTCCTCTTTTCCATGAAAAACTTTCACTACATCAGCATTAGCAGCTTTCCTCTTGATTTGTGTCTTAACCATGAGAAAAAACATCACAGATGTGAGCTGCATTGTACTAAGAACATATGCATGCTTTTAAATCACTTTTATCTTACTTTTTACTAATGTAATCCTGAAATGTAAAATATGTTCTTTTTGCATTCACTATTATAGGCAGAACAGATGGTGAAAGGCTTAGATTAAAGTAATACAGCATGTCCATTAAAATAACCCCCACTGCTGGTGACTCTTCACCAGATCAGGAGTTATGTTTACTATAAAAAGAAGGGTTTGCTTTGCTTTTAAATACACTGGAAGTTGCCAAAGCTTTAGGCTACAGGAAGAAATGGAAAAAAACAATAATAAAAACAAAAAGGCTAACTAGAATTCAGCCTGATTCTGTTATCTTTACCCCATTGGGTGATATGCCCAAATAGAGATGGATTGCAGAATTAATCCAGATTATCTGTTTAAAGGGGCTGTAAAATCAGTTTACCTCCAAAATCAGGTGTATTAATATACACCAACTAGGGAACGCTCTTACTTCCAAAAATTCCTGCATGCGGTAACACACACCAAAGCCTCCATCCAACAGCTCTTGGGTACATCCTTACTTGTATGTGTGCATTTGTTTTATATAGAAATAATCTACATCCAAGAACTAAGATGAGATATGAAGCAATAATCGTTTATGCAGATCTGACCATAAAACATTTCCATTAGAGGCAGACAACAAACAATTTTAAATATTTTCTTTAAACAACCATCATTAATGGGACATTAAACTCCAAAGCAGTTGTTCAGATGATCACAATTAAAATGTTTTTCCAATCTTGTTGCTATTTCCTGTGTACAGAATAAATGAGGTCCAGCGCTAGCTTTTGGGAACACAAAACAAATGAGGTCCAGGGCTAGATATTGAGAGCCCCTCACAATTATTATTATTATCATGGGGGAAGACTCAGGCATCTTCTAATCAACTCACGATTTCTTTTTCCTGCAAATCTCTATCAAGTTTTCATCTCCATCTTTTTACCTCCTCTTTCAGTTCTCCACCTGCCTGGTAGGACAGGACTAGAAGAGCACTGTTCAAAGTGTCTGGGCAAATCCTACAGCTGTCTCATGAATTTTGGGTTGCTCTCCTCTCTGCTTGCCCTTCCCCTGGCTGGGGCTGTTTTCGCAGAGCCCACTGGACCACTGTACTAACATCAGTCAGTGTTAAGCAGATGCTGACCAGTGCCTCCAATTTAGTGAACTCAGTTTTTGCTTAAAGAGTCTACGAACACCATATTACACTATGTCTGCTTCTGCATAAGATTTGAGCAAAAAAACTTTAACGCTATCTTCGGTGACCAAAACGTCCACTTTGTGCCCTAGTCAGCTGAAATATATTAACATGGTTTTCAAACAGTTCACATCTCATATAGCTACCCTAGGGGCACACAGCTGGTGAGAGAGAGGATTATCAGTCTTCACCCAATAAAGCATATGATTGTCTTTTCTCTTCAAGAGTGAAGCAAAGTACATGATAAAGGGAAAAGGAAAAAAAAAAAAGGAAATAAAGTATGTACATTTAAAATCTCCTAGGTGCCCTTAACTTTAAGAAATACTTTGCTCACTGTCATTATTTTACTAATAAACTTCCTGCTTCCTTCCTCCACCAAAACCCAGGCTCCCGTGTAAGCCAAAACCCATGACCTCACTTTTCAGCCGTGGCTTTTGAGTCACACTAATTCTCCGCAACTGACTGGCAAATTACGTGGGCTGGAGACTGAGGGACACAGGCCATACCACCTGCTGCATGTTCTTCACAACAGCTTTTCTTAGTCTTTCAACAGTTTATTCAGTGGTGGAGAAGGATGAGAGGGATGCAAAACCAAGCTGCCAGCGTTGCTTGTGGTGATGTGCTACAATGAACGGTATGACCATTTTTCAAGATATTGGCAACTAGCTTGGCTGCTTCTTTTTGAATGACGAAATCTGTGACTTTACTACCAGGCAGCTGGTAATGAGGATGCAAAATGAAACTGGAGATTAAACATCCTGAGCTTTCAGACAACAGTCCCTGGTAAACCAGCAGTCTCAATGCTGCACTGCTAGTTCAGGATTTTTTTCTGGTGGCAGAGGGAATAAGGAGGTGCTGATGAAAGCCACACTTTGAGAAAGCAGACTGGTGTGGGAGGATAACAGGTCTTTGATTGGGATTGTAGCAAATGGGGACTTCTGAAAGGACTGTGTAAGGGGAGATGAAGGGTAGTTTGAGTAAATCAAAGATAGCAATCTTAAAAAAATCTAATTTAGAATTAATTGTAGGTATCCTTCCCAAGTCTTTAAAGCAGTTTTATTACAATGTTTGGTATAGCGCATTCAAGAGAAAGGCTCTTCTTTTACAACCCACAGAAATGTGTATGAACAAATGATTAAACATCAAGAGTCATAACAACCTCTGGCAAACTTAGATTCTTGAGAATATGAGTACATATCTAGGCGCTTGGTTTAATATTCCCTGTGCCAAAAGCAGATGTCATTTAACTGAATTTCTTACCCTTGATACTTTTGAGGGGAAAAAGAAAGAAAACAAGGATGGGATGTAGACACTTGGGCTCACATTGTATACTCTTAGAGGTCAGTTTAGAAAACATTGTGCCTGCAGAGAAACTGTAGTCATCAAGGTCATTGTCAGTTAAATATTGACCTGGACTCTTTAAAAATACATAGCTCTTCAACGTTACATCATGAATGCATAAATTTATATCCACTGTATGGTGGCATAAGGGCAGTAAGCCTTGCATCATTATTTAGTAAACATGATGGTTATTTCAACAAACAGATCTATTTGAGCTAAAGGGCTAACAGTGTAAGTGTGCAAGTGCTGTGGCACTGTCTGCAGAAATCAGTTGCGTAGATGGATTAGGTAAGCTCCAGTTCAGAGACCCAATCAAGTCCAGTCCGTTCTCCAAGCGGGGACATGTTCCTTACACATTAGGCCTGAAAATGAAATCTGGGAAATTAAAGTCTACTGACACCAGTGGGACCTCCTAGTGCTTTCTCCCTTTCAAAGCTTTGTACATAGAAATCTTTCTTGTTCTAATTCAGCAAGCTGGCTTGTTGCTTTCCGTCCTCCAAACTCACTCCTCCTGACTAAGATCTCAGTATTAAACTGCTGTCAGACATCTGGCAGCTTTCTAGTTATGTTGGAATTATTAAAAAGTAAGAAAAAGCAAGCTTTCTCAAATGGCAAAACTCACAATCCTCTCAAACCAAGTATTTCAAAACCAACATTTTCACTTGTCCTTCTGCCCGCTCCTCATTAACTCGGAGCCCTGTGCTGTTATTGTTGTTGATGATGATTTATCATGCATGCTGAAACATAAATGTTTCCAGCTTTTTTAGAAACAGTTTAAAGAAACATATTCCTGTCTCAAGATCTTGTAATCTGTCACCCTTTATTCCCTTTGAGTAGCATGTTCTTTGGCCCATTCTAATTACTTGGGTAAAATAGCAGTCAAAATCAAGATATTCAAAAAGATTTAATTTTGTTTTTCAAAGACAACTACCTGTGGGTATGGTGATGTCCTTGATTTTGACTTTGTGCTCGAGAGGCGAGATTTGCTTCCCTTTCTATTATCCGTTATGGTCGGAGTTGAATTTGCGTATGAGAACGCCGGCTTGGTAGCAGTGACCTGATCCAGGGAGAGCTGTAGTCCTTTATATTCAGTATCCCTATATAAAAGGCAAAAGTGAAAAACAAACTCACTTCATATCTTAATGGGAAACATTCCTTCCTTCTTAGTGGGGGGTGGAAACAAAAGATATTTTTAAGGAAAAAGAATAAAACCATCCAGGGCAAGCCAGTATATCCCCCTAATATATTTAAGTAGTATAGCTTACTAAACAATAGTACTATTTTTATAGTGAAAATATGATTGCTTTTTGCATCCAACTGTTATCATCCTGATCTACTTTCTTTGGTAATAAAAAACAATGGGATGGAAATTTCTGAGATTTATATTGCAGTTCTGCATTGGTCACATAGCTAAGCAGTAAATACGATACATTTTCCTCAAAACTCTTTTAACTGTACAACTACAAACTTACCATGTGTGTGTGTGTGTGTGTGTGTGTATGTTCACGCGTGTTGGAGGGATGTACATAACAGCCTACATCATAGATGACTAAATAAATTGAGAAAATTAATCTTTGTTTATGGAAAACACTTCATCTTTAAGGTTATATTTTTCATTGTTTGCAAAGTTTCAGGCAATTGGTGCAAATTTTTCAATCTTCCTTCTTCTGTGGGTCTTGTGAGTGTTTAGTCCTCTGTTTGACGTTTCTTATACTGAAAGAGTTTACTGTTCAGAGAAAACAGCTAAATAAATACAAGTCTTATGATTCAAATGGTCTGTCCCCCACTCACAAAATACTAGAGGTTTCCTATGGGCAGCTAGACATAATGCCACTTTGTGAAGTTCAGCGTTAGTGTCTTCAAGCTTTCTAATGAATACATAAAAGTAAGGAAAACTGGCATTCTTCACAGTGTCTTACTAAGCATAATGAGGGCACATGCATTGGACTGCACCCCTCTGCACACATCTGCACGTCTGCTGATAACCGGGGGAGTAAGAAATGAGCTCTCCAGCTTTCATGTAGTCATACGGAACCTATTCTGACAATGATTTATTGAAAGAGAGCGAAGCAAGAGTTTCTTCCTGACCTACCTACCTGGAGGAAAAGAGGAAGGATTCATGGCTTTTCTCTTCCTTTGTGTTTATCAGCAGAGAAATAGGAGAGCAAGGGAAAAATAACGCTTCACTTATGCAGTCAAGGAGGCAACATATTCATTCACACAATACCCCATACTCCATCTAAACCTAAAGACTTGTCCCTAGTGAATTATACTAATAACAAATTGTTCAACCAGCTTTAGCAAAAATGTCTTGCTCTATAATCACACATATATAAGCCGTGACAATCTTTTTTTAGAAAGGAACTGCACCACAACCTGAACATAACACAGCTTAGTACACTGAAATGCTTTCAGATAAGTGTCGGGGCAGAAGGATAAACCTGATAAATCACTGAAATAAATTAAATAGGATGAATCTTTGAACCACAGATAAACTCACAGAACAGAAAAATTAATTCATGCCAGTTCTACAATCAAATTTTTTTGCACCTGATAAACAACAAACTTGAAGAGGCTTAGTTTTTTTGGCAATGCAGATAATGTGTATGCATCCATGTATATATAACACATGAAAACAAATTACTGACATTAGAACTGTGCTGACTACACTGTTTCCAGTCCATAGCAGACATATAATTAATTTTTGTAACATTAAATTACTTCTTAATAAGGTTGTTTCTTCAAATTTTGGCTTTAATAGAGATAGGCATCTGCTATAATATTTGCATTTCAAGTATCCTGCCTGTAGTGAAGGCATCTGAATATAAGGATGTGCTTTGGCCTATTTGACAGGTGAGGCTCACCCACATATTTCGAAACCATTAATCTTTCCTGTGATTACCCTCAGAATTTCCATCCAGACACCTTAACTTGACATTCAAAGCATCGCATCTGTCTCCATAATTGAGTCCTACCAAATTATGTTATACAAAACATCAGAAACAAAGGATGTCAATTAATCTTCATACTTAACTACTACAGTATCATGAGATATTATTAGTAGTCCTGAAAAAACTATGAGTCTCATCCTGATATAAGAAGAAAACTATCTGAAGTTATTGCTGCTGAATGCAAAGTTTCCCCTAAAAAAGAACACATCTGCGCTCTCCTTGCAGCTGAAACACCTGGACTTTTTTGCATCACTGAGGCATGATTCAATACCATCTCGACCTTATCCTAGCCCACCTACCCTTCAGAAGATCCAAGATAGACACCAGAACACCAGCAGTAACAGGCCAAGGTAAATACCAGAAGTTAAAAAAAAAAAATAAAGCAACGAAAAAATGGCAGAAGATTTTTTCATTTCTTGGTGGAACTGTGTATGCACTGTGAGACAAAGGACAAGAGGAATCAGGGCTCCTGGTGGTACACAAACTACAGATAGAAATTCTGCCAATTTCCTGGAAGAATTTATAAAACTTCTGTCAACCATGGAACCGTAATCTCCAGATTCCTGTTCTCAGACACCTGAATCCTCTGTTACACAGTCCCAGCAACACAGTAGCACTGCATGGTGTATTCTACACGTAGTTCAAAAAAAGGTGGTGGATACAAGCCTCTTCCTCCAAGGTCCTCACCTTCAGGATCCCACAGGGATCCATACAATCTACATCGATCTACATGAGACCGCTGAGAGAGAGAGTGATATGGCATGTGTTCAATTGCTAACAGTATGTTGCTGACAATCTACTATTTATCTCATTTTCTGATGCAACTATCATCACTATAAAACATCAGAATAACTACAGGAAATTAGCTCTTAAATGAAGAACAGATGGATCAAACTGAATCCAGACAAGACCAAAGTGATGCTTCTTTGCAAAGGGAAACACATTGAAGACCTCCACCTTTTCATGATGGGAAACAGCCATTCTTTCCACAGTTGGATGGAAATTCTAGGTCCTCTTTGACTCCTCAAAAAACTTGGATGCATATGCTTTTGGTAGCATATGCTTCCAAAAATGTATTATTTCTCCTCTATCTTGTCCCTCCCCCCCATATGAGAATCTGGCCAGTATGCTCAATGTATCAGGCACCTACAGACTGGATTACCATGCTTCACTGTAAGTGAAAAGAAATCAGAAGACAAAGCGTAAAACCCTCTTGCTATGATATGCTGCTTCCAATTTTCTTCTCAGATATAACTCCCAGAAGCATTTCCACTCTGTGCCATGTCTCTGGCTCTTCCATTATAAAGCTTGAGCCCAATTTTGAAAGCATTTATTGATGTACCAGAGCTAGCATCACAAAAGACCAAGGATCGATGGCTGTACCAACTGCACTTCTCTGCAATAAAGCATCTGAAAATTGAGTGCAAAGCATTCTTTACTAAAGGGATCTAGCTATAGCAAACTGCATAGATGGAGAAGGACAAAGGCTAAAGCAGAAAAGCATTTGGAAGAGGAAGCCAATCTGTTTGCACATTTCTTGGATGCCAGCTGAGTCTGCAACACTCACAATTCAGCTTTAGAAGAGACTTTCTGCCTACTACCATTGCCAAAATGTACAATATGAAACAAGGTGGCAACAGTCTGCCTAATGAAAGTTTGAGGAAGAGATAATGACTCATTAGTAGATAGACCCAAAAAAGAACAGTAAGGAAGTACCAGAGCACCACAAAACCCGAATTCTCAGCAAACAACAGACCTTGCACAAATATGGCTACTGACCGTGTGGATATAGCTCACCATGAAACTGAAAGAAAATAAGAGGGTTTTTATATGGCCTTTTTGAAGGAAAAAAGATGAGGAAAGGGTGAGTGTGCTAGAAATAATGTTGGGAAGACTGTAAGGCCCAGTGGGCACAGTATGGCCCAAGGAACTAAAACTGTACAGACAAACCAGGCTTTTTGGTAGTTGTGTTTCTTCAAGTAATAGGGTGAAGTCTGGGACTACTTTAACCAAAATCTAAAACCTGAAGTGAGACTAGACATTAATATTAGAGAGCTAAAGGCACAAATAGTTTTGAAGATATTAAGATTCCCTACTTAAAGACAGTGTTAGAGAACAGAAGAGAACTTAAGCCCTGAAAAAGGCTTTCAAATAGAAAAAGCAGCTCAATGGGAGGAAGGAGTAAAATAATGGCATCCATTAGTGAAGAAGAAATATCCAGATTCAAGCAAAACAATTTAAGGACAACCAAACTTAAAAATAGACATCTTGGATATCTACAGTCATAAGCAGCACAACCTTCAAAACAAGAAAAAAAACCCTTCAAAAAAGAAGAAAAGAATGCTCAGTCCTCTGCAAAAACCATAAGAAAGAGCAACTTTTTACATTAATGCAACAGAAAGGAAGGATAAGCTATACATGCAGTGATTGAGAATACACAGATAACAAACAAAGAGGCAAATATTTACAGTGTATTTAATTCCATCAAAAGACACTAAATTTAGACACCTTAAAGAAGATTCACAGAAATTCAGTTTTCACCTGTGGCGTTATGACATCAGATTAGAAATGCATTTCAGTTCATTCTCTCCAGCAGCAATCAAAATATCAGTATACAACTGGAAACAGATCTTACTCTTATTCTTAGGTGTCTTTCAATTGATAGCCTGAACAATACACAATGATAATCCTGTCACTGGAAATCACAGCAAAGAAAGAATAAAAGGGCATCATGTCACCACCTAAAGCTGACAAACACTGGATAACCTACACCCATGTCATTCCTTACACGTACTAAAGTAATTAATGAAGTACAAGTTGAAAGCAAAAGCATTAGATGATCTTGACGCAGCACGTTCCTACATCATGGATGCAATCATTCACATGACCGAAGCAAAGGGGAAATCATTGTTTTATGCAAAACAAGGTGTAATTTTAATTGGTTGCACTATTATTTCTACTGAACACATAATATATGTTCATCATTTCCTCTAGTTTTACAGGAAAAATCTATTAAAAGGGTCATGTGCACTCTGCATTTCTTTTTGTTAAAAATCAGAAAAATTGTATTTGTCAGATTTTCTGCCAGTCTAACAAAACACAGAATAGAAATTGTGAGATTAAACTAAAGGTGTTAATGTCATTAA